CCAAAGTCAATCCAAATCAGCTCTTGTTTACGATTGTTTTTAATTTAAGAGTTGCAAATTACCTGGGCTAGCTATAACAACCAATAAGCAATATTCTCAATCTTAAAACGTGTTAGTAAGGTATATAATTTTATATATGGTAGTAATTAGTGTAAATTTATGAAAAGAAATTAGGGAATTTTTTCAAAATATTTTTCTTGTTTAATGATCGGGTTAATAGAAACTTAAAATAAAAAAGTGATACCAAGTTAATAATATTCTATTGATAAATTATAAAACTGTTTTGAAAAATCTATTGTATGAGAACCACAGCATGGTAAAGTGTAGAATTGCCATGGTAATCTGTAGAATTGCCAAGAAAACTTGTAAGCTGTCATTTCACTTTGAGAAAAAATAATGAAAAATTTCAAATTGAATTTATTCTTGCGGACGAAATAGTTTGATTTCAAAATTTGGTTCCCAGGTACCAGGGATGAATGTACTTTCACCCAATGCTAACCATTTTCTCAGGTCAATCCATCTGAGTTTTTGAACTAAAATGTACAACGGTATATCAGGTTTATAATTTCTCTAAATATTTTTTTTTTTTTAATGTTATAAAAATCACAGATGTTTTGAGTTGTGTAAAAGAAAAAGTGCTATATTTTACAAAATTTAATAGAAAAATCCTTTTTTTTAAAAAAACTTTTTTTTTGTTTTTAATAATTTTTTTATTTGAACCTGTGTAGGTTTTAAAATATGCATACGGATTTTATATATTTACACGCCAAAAAAAAACAAAAAACAAAAAAACAAAAAAATTGATTTATGAACAAAATTGTGATAACACTGTTTTCTGTACAAACCTTCCTGTACCTAATGTTTTATTTTAATCAAGAAAACTCAAAACCTAAAGACATAAAAATATAATATAAACAAGATGAAAAGTGAGGAGTACAAATGCAGAAAGTAAATTGAGGAGTGCGAATGCAGAAACAAAACAATTAAAAGAAAAAGAGAATTTGAAAAAATAAAAGACTGCTCTGCGTTCAGATCCAAATGCCGCACTCATTTTTCAGCAAATCAAAGAGCATTGTTGTTTATCAATTTTCAGAGCCTAAGGAGGAAAAATTTTATTTTTATAGTGAATATATGAAGCGTACTTTAAAAAAACCCACAAAGACAAAGGCTGTTGACTCTTGAGAATGTAGGGGAGACCGGGGTATGATAAATAGTGGAGCAAGATAAAGAATGTCTTAAATTTTCAATTTTTCACACGGTGGCAGCATTAATGGGGCATTATTGACTCTCTTAGAGGCTGTTAAAAATTCAATCGTTAAAAAATAGTACAGAGACCCTAAAATTGCCATTTTTGTATTAGTTGTCAAGCTTTGATTGTTTACCGCTGCTATGTTATAACTTTTATGCATGTGTAAATAAGCTCTGCTACAGATATAGGTGAGCTATTTCGTTTCTCTTTAAAATTTATAAATAACTTAGTTTAAGTACTACCTATTAACAAAAAAAAGGTCAATCAAAAGGCGTTGACTTAATTAAGCGTTAATTTACTATTATATTGCAATTTAAGAAGGAGAAAAACTACCACGTATAACGTACCTGAAGCTACACTTTGTCACCGCTTTAAAAAAAATGAACACGTGAGGATAAATTTTAAACAGATCTTAAGAAAAACATAGATTGAACCTATTAATTAATTGACCTAACCTCTTAATTTAAATACTGTTATTAAATCTGTATTCAAATATGTAAAGTGTGAGTCCTGAAATATTTTTTACTAGAATGCTAATTTTTGTTTCAGGAGATGCCGGTTCATGGAGTAAGATTTAAAGTCTCCAATGATACACAGCAAGAAGATTTAAAATCCTACGTAACAGCAATGGACAAAATATTTTTTGGATTAAAAAAAAACAGTGTAGAAGACTAATTTTTGACTTAGCTGATGAATATGCTATTTCGTATTCGTTCAACAAGGATAAAAAGATAGCAGAAGAAGATTGGCCGGCTAATTTTACAAAGAAACATAAATTTAGTGTAAGCAAACAAAAAGCAACATCGATTGCCAGAGCAATGAGTTTCAATAAACTAAGTGTAGACAAGTTTTCTAACATTTTAAGGGAGCAACGGGAAAAATATAAATTTCCTGCTTCTTCAACCTACAATGCAAATGAGTCTGGGTTGTCTACTGTGCCTAATAAGCTACCCATATTTCTCAGTCCTACAGGATCTAGAAGAGTTTCAACAGAGAAAGGAAGAAATGTAACTATAATTATGTAAATAAAGGAGGCTGTTTAAAAGTGGTATAAAATTTTAATAAAGTTTTGTGGTGCAAATTTTATATTGGACTGTTGGTATACCAATGTATGAAGTGATTGATTAGTTATCTAGATTAAGACAGTATAAGACTAATTTGATAATCTAACAAACGTAAAGCAGCCGTGGCGCAGTGGTAGCGCACTTGCCTCAGAAGCGTAAGATCCGTGGTTTAAACCCCGCCTCTGGGCAAGTTTTGCGACATTGGTTTAGAAGGAGGCGTGAACTTCCTATTAAATGCTCTTCCGCGGTGCTCTGTGATAAGACCGTAAGGACTTCTTGGGGCACCTTAATTAACTTTAAAAAAAACGTATTTAATTGATTAAAAAAATAAAGATTTAAAAAATTTGCAGATAAAGCGTTTGTATTTAAAAATGTAGGAACTTTTTTACGATGCTTAATCCAAACTTATTAGAAATGCAAAAACTCATTGTTTTGTATACAAAATAATGAGTTTTTGCATTTCTAATAAGACTATCCTATAGGACTACCAGTACAATCAAGACTTTGCACCTACGAGGGATAAAGTTAAGAGGGTAAAGTGCATTATCTCTTAATATTTCTGATTAAATTAGCATGATGTGTAGCTTGATGCCTATAACTTGACGGTCAACATTTTCCCATAAATAATCAATGGCATCTAATCTCAAATCATTTGATGAAATATCAACTTCAAAACACAAACTTTACTCTTTTTGAAAAGCTCTTGAACCAATTTGCACTTTTTTTTAAAGAACCTTTTTTTTTTTTAAAGAACATTTTAAATATAGAGGACTTACGATTGTTCCCCTCCACTTTGAAACCCATATCGTCGGCCCTGATTAACAACTCCACTTTAAATGCTGTGATACTAATTTTTCTCGCGCATTTTTGTTTTTCTAGGAAATTAATGGCTTTTAGGATGGACGTCTTCCAAACACATTCGCATGACGTAAATAAAGTTTTGTAGTAAAGATACTATAATTTATTGCATTAAAACGTTTCGTATTTTCATATAAATCAATAGCTGTCAAATGGGATTTTTCGTTGCTTAGTATCACGAGTTTTCTATCTTGACGATAAATTGTTTTGCGTGGTCTTCTGATTGCTTGTGGATCCAGAAAGTTCATATCTATTCATTATTTTCTATCAGAAACGAATTTCCATTTGAACTGATTTTGCTTTCAACTTTTTTACTAGATATTTTATACATTTCTTATATCCCGTGACCTCAATCACTTATAAATGAAGCTTTTTAACTATTTCCACAGAATATTTGTTTACAATATCAATAAACTAGCAATTTTCGAAAAAAATGTAAAAAGCTTTAGTATGTCCGCAAATTTTTGAGCTCATTAAAAATCATGAATCCTTATATGATTTAAAGTATGTTAATTAAAGAATCAATATTTATTCAAAACGCAATAGTAAACATGAAAAACTATAAATAGGTACATAGTATGATATATTTAGTGAAGTAAGTGCTGAAATATTAGTAAAATTCAATTTTGTTTGTCCAAGCAACTGTATGTCTATGTAAAATGTTAATTTAAGTAAATTTTTGTAATTTTACTTAAATTAACATTTTTTGCTGTTATTAATGTTTTTTTTTTTTTGTTTTTTTATTTTTTTTAATGTTATTGAGAGTTTTTTAATTTTTATATTTATTGCAATTATTTTTACGAACTTAGAATATGCAGTTTAAACAGTGGTGTTTAAACAATTAAGTCATTTAACTATGATTTTTCAAATTTTTCCATGTTTTGGGGCCTTATGACATTATTAAAAATTCAAAATGCTGGGTTTTAATTTTTTCAGTATAACAGTTATGGAAACTATTTGACTTCAAATTATCACTTTGGGAAAATGATAGCAAGATAGCTCATTAGCATACAATGACTACTCAAACTATATTAGCATACGATGATTTATTCTGTTTTGTGTGTATTTGCTCAAAATATATTAGCATACAATGATTTATTTTGTTTTGTGTGTATTTGCTCAAAATATATTAGCATACGATGATTTATTTTATTTTGTGTGTATTTGCTCAAAATATATTAGCATACGATAATTTATTTTGTTTTGTGTGTATTTGCTCAAAATATATTAGCATACGATGATTTATTTTGTTTTGTGTGTATTTGCTCAAAATATATTAGCATACGATAATTTATTTTGTTTTGTGTGTATTTGCTCAAAATATATTAGCATACGATGACTATGAATTAGACTAAAGTAAAGTTTTTCTCTTGAAAAAATAAATAAGATTCACATAAAACACCTATTGCAGATGACATTTTTGATTTAATGCGCCCAATCTAATTTCTCCATAATAAACTTCTGTCTATTTGAACACCAAATCTTTCTTAATGCCAGGCATATGTAGCCCAATATGCTAAGTATTTTGCAAAAATAATGTTTTTAAATATAATATCAAACCTAAATATAAAAATCAGAAAATTTATAAATCAAAAAACAATATTTATTTGGGTTATTGAATGATGTTTATTGAAAAGTATAACTGGAAATAAACAAAAATTTACATGATTATGAGTTTTAAACCCAAAATATTTCTTTTATGCAATTTGAATTTGCTTGACAAAGTGCTATACAAAGGCGCATAAATAACATAACATTTGTTATTCCCGAAAAATTTGTTGAAATTTATCGGGGATAGCCATACACTATCTTAATAGATAAAAAAAAAATTTGAAACAATTTTTTTTGTTTATTGTTTATAAACATTTTAAAGTGGTTTAAAATATATTATGTTTGACCAATAAATAATTTTTTTTTAATAGATTCTTTCACCGCTCACAAATTCTTCGCCCTCCATATCTAAAATAAGAACGTTTTTCATGTGATCGTATTGTTTAAAAAAGATTCTTCGAATTTTCTTGCGATAAAAGAAAATTACAACCAAAATAGCAATTACTATTATTAATAATGGAATAAATACTGATATCCAGTGATTCTTATCAAGTTTTTTTCCACTTTCCATTTGAGAGTACGTAACCAAAGTAGATTTTATTATCCTTGCACCATTAAATATTAATGGTTTCAAGTGGTTTATCTGTGCATTCAATTCTTGTGCAATACTCTTAGAATTATATTTTGCAGAATCTCCATAGTCACAAAAATATACTCTGACTTTTCTATCAGACACGTGATCTGCATTAATAATAATTTGAGTGTCATCAAAAATGCCGCTCATTGCAACCAAATACTCTTTTAATTTTGTAAAGAGTTCTTCATCAATAGATTGATCTTTAGCTGTTTCAATGATGATATCTATTGCTGTTATGGATTTGAACACAGGTATATTTTTTACTTTTAATTGATAGCTGTAGGGTGTTATTATTTGCACCTCAACTTTATAAGTTCCAGGCGTTGAAAAGCTATAAGTTTTTACAGAACTTAGACCTTTTGTGTATTTATCATTAAATGACCAGATAAAGTTTGCATTTTTCATGTCAAGTGTTCTCCATGTTCCATTTTTGTCGTATGCTCCTAATTTAAATTCAGATGGTACGTTGACAATAACCGGTGGGTTGTAAACAATATCCGCATCTATAAAAAAATCTTTAACAATTTCAACAGCAATTATATGCGTAACATTTTCTTCTACATTAGATGCAATCATTTTTACAAAGTAGTTTCCGGCAGTTTTAAATGCGTGTTGGACTAATTTCATTTCATCAAAGGTGCCCCGCAAAGTTTTACTTCCATCTCCAAAATTCCAACTATATACTGTGTTAAAAAATCCATATACTTGGTCAATTTTAAAAGTAATATTAGTGTTAACTGTTTGTGAGTTACTAGAGGCAGATATTTTAGAAACTTTAGGAGGAAGTACAGGACAGGGTTCAAGAGAGGGCATCAAGTCTTTTTCAATGCCTGCGTTGCAAAGATCTCCAAATCTTTTAACATAACCCTTTGTTTTTAAATAACTAACTTTACAGTCACTTGCGTCAAACACATGTTTATTGTTGTACGGCAAGCAGAAATTGGTTTCGTTTTTGAAAAAGAATTTGTCGCATTTGAAGTCTTCTAAACTGCATTCACACGGCGTTATTGTAATGTTGTTTTCAAACGAAATCCCATTAAGGCAATTTTTATTGGCATTGCGTCTTTTACTAGTTATGTTCCTACCAAGGACACATTTGTCATTATGTTTCCATGTAATATAATCATCCGGCTCACAAATACCTCTAAAAAGTTTTGTAAAGTTAAATTGCCATACAACCCAAGTATTTACTTTCTTTCCTGATAAAAATGGTTGATCTTGTAAAAATCCAAATATATTTAATTGAAGACTTTTTCCTGAGGACTCTGTTATGATTGCAGCAATCCGTGAATATCTTTTTGAAATTGATACCACTTGCCAAGTGTTTCCGTAATCAATCGTGTATGACAAACCATTATCTAAAGTATATGTTAATGGCGTTGCAGCTATAAGCCCCCCATGGTCAAGAATAGCATAACCGTACATGCTATCTAAGTGTTCTTTCCAACTATGACCACCATCAAAAGATACAAAAATTTTATGTGGTGTAATAGCGTGTTCGTTTGTGTGCATTTTTGTAAAAAAACCTTGTGCAATAATCACTCCGGGAGCACTTTCTTTTGAAATCAAAGGTGCAGTAAACTCCATAGTAGCTTGCTCCACTTTAATATATAGTGTAATTTCACAAGAACTTTTGCAATCATTAGTATTTACTTTTATAGATTCCCAGTTATTACCTTTATCAAAACTGATTAATGTCCCAATGTTTTTTTTATTCACAATGAAAGTTCCAAAAGAACCTCCAAGTTCAAAAAAATCAATTTTAGGAACTAAATCTTCTTTGAACCCATTTTCCATAACAATATCAGACTGGATAAACTGCATTTGGTATCCGTAGGGTCCAGATAGATACAAACTTACAGTGAGATCGGGGTGAATAATTCCTAATAAATACTCATTTTCGTTTTCATTTAAAATAGTGTGATGTAAATGGGCTTTGATAAACTGTTTATCATATACTAATTTTTGAAACCCGCGATTGTTGTAAGAAACATAAATTTCTCGATTACTTAAATACTGTACCATAATTAAGTTAATTCCAACATAAACAGAGTATGGCACTAAATTTTCTGAGATAACTTTAGATATTGAACTGCATGGCATATTACACATGTATAAGCTGGAAGATCGCGTCTCTTCATCTACATTCTTTACGCCCTTAAGTTCAATAAAAAACGTCGTGTCATTTTTACTCCAAAAGTAGTTTCGAACGTCACTGGCGACCTTTACCCAAGTAGAACCGCTGTCAGTGCTGATATATACAGAATTTCCACCTTCTGGCGTGTAATCATAACCAGCTAAAAGATTTTCAAACTTTGAATGGAAAAGAATAAAAGTTGGTGCAAAATTTGTTTTGATACGGGTGTAAGACATACCATTATCTCTAGTTAAATAAATACTTTTGTTTCTGTAGTCTGTGAGTATTTTTAACTTTTTGTTTAAAGGCGTTAAGTAAATACTGTGTAAGAATGCGTTACCAAAAAATTTATTTTGAAGAGTAAATGTTTTTCCATCATTTGATGATCTGTATAAGTTACTGGGGCTATTACAGCCTTTGTTGACAAATTTGTTGTGGTTAGAGACATTTGCTGACTCGCATGTCAAAAAGAAAATAACTCCTTCACTGGCGTATTTCCAATAAACAAAAGCCACATTATTTGAATCTTCTTGAAAAATAAATTCAGATTTATCAGGTTCACTTGAAGTTAAATTTTCATTTGTTTTACTTAAAGAGTTTAAATGTCTTTTTGATATGCGACGTCTTAATTTACTTTGCTGTAGCACCATAGACGAATCGTCTTCACTAATATAGTGTATATTTCCATAAGTTAACGCAAATCCCAATATCATTAAAATACAAATGTTCATGACGCTAGTTTTTATAAGTCTTATTTAAGTTAGTAAGAAACAACAATAACAAAAAAAAAACACAACTTATTTGGATTATGTTTCTACTACTTTTTCTTCAGCAATCTGTTTAAAGTGTTATTTAATTTTTTGCTTCTGAAAAAACTTTTACTTGAATTGTTATCTTGACCAATTGAATGATTAAGTGAAAATTAAAACTTAAAAAAAACAAAAACAAAGTACGGAGGTATAAAATCAATAATATTTAAATGGATTCATTTCTTTTATAAAAACAGATACGATTTAAATCGTAAATTTTATTAAATGCTAATATTTTTTTTATTAAAAAGCAAAAAGTTTTACTATATTTTTATTATAAATATTAAAATAATGGCTATTCCACAAATATCGGGCTCCTTACATTTTTAGATCACTTTTTTTTCAACTCACCCTTCAATTGCATGATATTTGAGACTGTTCGACAATGTTTATTATCTCAACAATCGAACAAAGTCTTTAAATGATTTAGTCGTAGTTATTTTGAGAAACTTTGTTTAACGTCTTTGCTTAACTGTTTATAAAATTTTTTTGCATTCAAAGTTTTATTGAAAATTGTGGTAAAAAAGAAAAAAAAACTATAGATAATGACTTTTTGTTGATTTAATCATTAAAGCGACTTACAGCATAAATAACACACTATAAATGTATATGTTTTTTCTTTTATTCAGTTATCAAAAAAAAAAAACATAAAAAAATACAATAAATCTATTTATAGTATGATGAAGAGCAGGCCCCTCTATGCTGATGAAAATAAAAATACAGACGCTACAGACAAAGAAGCAACTGTGTCGCTAAAAATTACTTTTTTATGCTGCCTTTGAAAGTATTGATTGATGGAGCGTTTACTACTGCTTGAGAAAGCGCATCCATGGGACAACAACTCTATTTAAAAAAAGTTGTCATTCTTCGAAATTTCGTACCAGCTGGCGTTCTAGTTTTTAGTTATGCCGTCTGAAAACATACTTCGCTTTACTTTTTGAAAGTTTTTGTGGGACGAAAGAACTGATAAGTTTGAGTTGAAGCGTGATTTTAAATGGTTCGACAAGGTCTGCTCTTTTAAAGCGTTTTTCAAGTGTTGTTAGACCGAGCTGTTGGAATCGATTTTCACAGGATAGGTGTTCAATAGATGATATTGTTTTTGTTGTTCAATGTTAGACTTGCTCGAAGATGGCAATGATAGACTTTAAATACGGCGACCAGGTGGTGGCGAATGTAAATGAGATACAGTGTGCGCTATAAATAAAAGCTGCGAGTGCTAAATTTTTTTATGAGTCGCCCTAGCATTCTATTCACTATTGATGTGGCTGACACTACTTGTGGTCAATAGTAAAGGTCATTGGAGACCATCATACCAAGGTCTCATTTGACTACAGTCTTTTCGAGTAGACAACGCTTATCGTCAACGTTAGCCGTAGCGTATTCCTGTGTCGACTTGTTATAAATGCACGGTCAACATTAATTTGAATTAATGTTAACCGCGCATATATAACAAGTTGAAAAATAAAAAACCTCTCAAAAAGAATAAAATGTAATTTTAGCAATAGTTACTTTAGTGTGTTTTGTTTATTGCTCTCAAATCCTTTTTAAAAAATATTTGAGCGTAGAAATTTATTATTTTTTACTTTTTCAGATAGATGTATTTTCTATCTTTTTTGGAATGTTTACTAATATTAGTATTCTTTTTTTTTTTCGAGATTAAAAGACATTTTTTCAACATTAAGTTTTTGTAAGCTATTAACATTAACTTTTTGTAAGCTGTTGCTAGGTTACTCTAAAGTCACATTACATAATTACATTGATGTGATGTGAGTTTTTAGGTGTTTTCAAAAATATATATATTAGGGCCCTGCGAAGCAGGTCCTAATATATATATTTGTGAAAACACTTGAAAATTATAATACCGATTTTAAGGTATTCAAAGTAGTTCAATACTGGCATAAACCGGTATTGTGCAGTATTTATAAAAAACATTTTAAAAATTCAGCCTAATTTTTAAAATGTTTTTAAATAAACTTTTTTTATAAAGTTTTCTAAGTTACCCAAATGAGACCTTGGTAACTTAGAAAACTTTATGAAAAGAAGAAAATACTAAAAGAAAATTTACGCATTTTTCTTTTTTATTTTATTTTACTTTTTAATATCTAAAAATTAAATGTCTTATTTAAAACATTAAAAATATTTTATCAAGCAGTAATAACTGCTTGATAAAATATTTTTAATGTTTTAATCAAAAATTTAACGTTTCAGAAGATAGTATTTTAAAAATATTAATGCATTTGATATATCAAAATTCATTTGGCTTCGAAGTTTAATTGAAAAGTTACCTGCAACCGAAAAAGTTCTTTCGCTGGATGTTGACGTCGGCTGGATGTTGACGTCGGCTGGATGTTGACGTCGGCTGAATTGTTTTGAGAGCCCCATCAATCTTATTTAAATTAGATGTTCGAACTCCACTTGCTTCAAACAGCTTAAACTTCCTTAATATCTCTGAAAACGGATCAAAACAACTTGGGTTGGAAAAAAATCATCTTTGTTAGGGATTGTTGTAATTGTGTCTTAAGGTTATTATCGGCTTCTTCAGCAACTTCTTCATCGAATGATTCAACATTGACACTATCCAATACTTTGGTAAAATATTGTTTAACTATATTTTTTGCATATTGAATAATTGCTGACATTGATAAATTTTTGAAACCATCGTTATTTTGTGACGTATATAAGTTGGGATTTGGCAAATATCTTATTAGTGACACTAAATCTTTGTTGCGTCGCTCATCGTATTGCTTTTTGAGGGAATCTAGCATCACTACACTTAAATTAGACGTTTGTTCAGAAAGATTTTTGAACAAAAACATGTGAACGGTCAGAAAAGTTGAATTGAAGAAACAGCCAATTCAATAGGTTTTAACACTTTTAAAATATCTTCTAAAACTTTAAAATCGATTAACTCATAAAAACTATTTGTTTCAATGTCCCAAACTGCTTTTTGAATGTATGGAACCAAAGAGTTTCACCGAGTTTTAATGTCAAGTTTTAGCATCAGTTTTTTATTTTCTTGTTCGAAAACATGCTTTTGTAATATGGAGTGACTAACGCTTGACAGTTTAAAAAATTTAATCAGTTAACGTGAATTATTCAATACAGACTTGATATCATCTCAAAATGTTCTGTTGCTGCTTCCAGAAGCAGTTTTCTCTAAGATGTCATTAAAAATGTTACTGCGATTTAATCTCTTAAGATAATCATTGTTATTATAATCAGAATCTGAATCATTATCTTCTTCCAAAGTAATATTAAAAAAGAATCGTTTTCGGAATCGTTTGCCTTATCATATTAATCGGCATTTTCTTCATTTGATTCGTCACTCGAACATGTTCGGTCGTTGCTGGTAGGTATATATTTGTAGAAAACATCAGTTACGGCCAGATGAATACCGTGATTGTGGAACAGTTGACTCTACAGGAATTATCCGTCCATATTTTGACCTGACTGCAGCACCATCGTGTGAGTAGATTTAATCTTATCACCATCGTGATTATATTGCAATTATGTATGAAAAATCTAACCCAAATTCTGTCAATTTTTGTTTCAATAATTCTTCGGTTGTGAAAGCATCACAGGAACCATTAATTTTAACAAGACCCAATTTATAAGCAACTTTATAGTGAAGAGTGATATTTATATACCTTTTAATGGAGATGCCAGTCCATTCATCAACTTTTATGCTGAACTTTTTACCACATTTTTTCAAAACAGAAATTTCATATTTGTTTTTTTGGAACTTCTGCAACAGATGTTTCATCTGACTTCTTATTTTTTAATATTATACTATGGATAGTTCTCATGTGGGTAATCAGACAAGATGTGTTCGAACCTTTGCATTTTATGAATAAATTGCACAGGGTACAAATTACTTCACTAGCTGAATCATATGATTTTGTGAAATACTTCGAGACAGAAGAACTTTGTTTTGGCATGTTTTTTTTGTACTTGTCTTTCTTTGGTTATGTATATAAAGTAAAGTAAAATAAATATAGCGCAAATAAAGTTACATTACTTACTTGTATATTATTTAATAATATAAGTAGATATATTAAATATTATTATTAAATGTATAATTTTTATAATGCTTAACAATTTATTGTTTCTAATATATAAACTATTATTATAAAACTAACGCTATAATAGCGGTAGCCAGGGCCTTGGTGGTAGCGTTATCTTAAAAACTTTAACCATTTAACTTGACCCTCCAACTTAAACCTTAACCCTAACCCTAACCCTAACCCTAACCCTGACGCTACAACTATTATATAACTTAATTCATAAACTTATTCATATGGAAATAATGTCCAAGGGAATTGTAATGTTTTAATCGTTAATACTTTTCCAAAAATAATAATAAAAATTGTTCAAGAGGAATCGTTGCAATAATTACAATACCAAAAAGTAACTAATTAATAAAAATTTTTTACTAACTTATGGTTTGCAAACAGCATAACAAAAAACTTCTATTTTGTGTCATTCATTTACGAAATTCAAACACAAAAACTACTTTACTTTAGTGCAAATTGTTATTTTTATAAAGATAAATTAATAAAATTTTAAAAACCGTAAAAAACCGCTATTGAGAAACGGTTTCGGTATTGGAAAAATTAAATAGAATACCGTTTTTCAATACCGGTATTAAAAACCGCGGAAACTCTAATACCATGGAATTAGAGAGAAAAGCAACGCTATTGAAATTCTTAAAAAGTTGCGAGAAATCATTAGTTCGTCGTCCAAATAAAGTCGTCGTTCGTCGTCCAAATAAAGTGACGCAATACAAAATAAAAAGTATAATAAGTATAATTAGGAACTTTCAAAATAAATAAATAAATAAAAAAGGAAATAACTTTCCTGATTATTTTTGAGGTTCTGAAAGATAAAGTTTATAAGTTTTTAACAAAAAAATACGATTGCGCAACTGCAAAACCATTTTTTTGTAACAAGCATGGTTTTAGATTAGCACAAGATTTGTAGATCTTATGATAATCTTAAACCATTTTTGTGTTGTTTCCGTAAGTAATTTTCGGTGGATGAGATAAGCTAACTTCCAGTTCCACCTTCCATTTTTTCGGTGTTTGAGTTAAGCTAACTTCCAGACATGGAGCATACTCTAAACATTTGTATGGTTATACATATGTCGAATAATGATGCTTTGCGATGATTGGAGGCTTACGTTGCCTCAGAAACGTAAGATCCGTAGTTCAAACCCCACCTCTGGGCAAGTTTTGCAAAATCAGTTAGGAAGGAGGCGTGAACTTCCTATTAAATGCTCTTCCGCGGTGCTGTGTGATAAGATCGTAAGGACATCTTGGGGCACCTTAATCAACTTAAATCAACTTAAAAAAAAGTTTATAAACATTTGTTTATTTTTTTACCCATAATTTAAATTTTCAGCATTATACATTATTACTTTAAATATTGTAAAATGTATTTAAGTTTTTTTAGTGTCATTCTTTATATTTTAATAGCTAGTCTTTTATATTTTAATAGCTAGTCTTTTAACTGTTTATTTGCGAAATTTAATTGACAAAAACTAATTAGAATATTTAAAAAGTATATATATATATATATATATATATATATATATATATATATATATATATATATATATATATATATATATATATATATATATATATATACATAATAGAACTATATTATTTAAATAAAAAATAAATAAATAAATAAAAAAAGAATGAATGCATATGTCTGGATTTATGCGTATTAGAAAATATATGTGCGTATGCTACTTTTGGAGGTGAACTATTCCTTGGCAGTGGTTTAAAATTATCAATTAAATAGTTATATTTATTTATTTTAAATAGTTCTATAAAATACTTCATCTTTCATCAAAATGTCAAGTTATGCGCAATTCCTCGGTTGTCGGTAAAATGCGAACTGCAAACCGCGAACTGCGAACCAGTAAAATGCGAACTTTTTTGCGAAACAAAACATTATATTTTAAAGACCATTATTTTTAACATAAAAATAATAATAAAAAAAACTCTCCAATTCTTAAATATCTGTTTTAAAGCTTTATGTAAAATAAATTTTTTATTTTTTAACTGTAAAACATGCGTGGAGTGTTGCTACATCTTATAGCCTGACTCGCAACGGAGTGCTGCTACATCGACTGACAAATAGCCTGACTCGCAAGAGAGTGCTATTACATCGACTGAGGGTTTGGTTTGGGCAGGCAGTCTATCAAATAATTAAAAAAAGTATATATTTTTTTATATTGTATTCGTCTAGTTTCACTTAATTTCCTTTTATTATTTTTTTAAAATAATTTTTTTGCTTAAAAGTCCTTAAAATATACCGCAAAATTAACTACTATGGTTCGCAAAAAAGTTCACATTTTACCAGTTTGCAGTTCGTCAGGGTTAGGGTTAGGGTTAGGGTTTCACATTCGCTGCCTTCGAGGAATAGCGCATAACATGACATTTTGATAAAAAATGAAGTAATTTATATAAATATTTAAAATAAATAAATATAACTGTTTTATTGATAATTTTTAATTAAAATATTTTTTTTGGGGGGGATTTTTTTTGCGACTAATTTTCAAAATAAAATTAATACAAGTAATCAAGATAAGTTTATTTTTATTTGCAGTGTAAATTCGGCTTAAAAAGCGATTACTTAAAACTAAAAAAACTGGAATTAAAAAAAAGATCGATCTTTGCAGATTGAGCCACAAACGACCTGATTTTACGGCATAAGCTGACTAAATTTTTTTTTTTTTTAACGTAATGAATTTTTATTGAAAAGTCGTATGCCGTCAACACTTGTAGCCCGTGGCTTGCCTTGGTTGGCTGTACTTATTTCCCAGAATTTTATACTCACCTTTTATATAAGGGTTGCGCCGTTATTATTTTCTTAGTAAGTTGGTAATCATGGCGGATATGTTTTGAAAAAAAACTGTTCCAAATGCTATTGATTTCTATTGACATTCATAACATTAACTATTGACATTCATAACATTAAATGTTTCGAAAAAATTTTTTTACGAAACCAAATGGTTTGAATATCTCACCAGTTTAATTTCGTAGTTAAACTTTTGGCTTGAAAATGCCCTGATATAAATGTTTTTATGCCATATTTTAAAATGGATCAAGGTTTTGACAAAACTTTTGTAGCTTCAAGGTATATTTTTAACTATGTTTTTACGGACTATATTTGTAATAAAAATAAGTAGCCTTTTATAGCTGTAACTAGTTTACTTATATACAACTGTTTCTGCGCTTATTGTTTTAAAATTCTTATAACATTTAACTAAAACATTATTATTTTATTAAACAGGTTATTAATATAAATAATAGTTTTGCCACAGAGCTATATAAACAATTTTTTTTTATTTTTTGCTATAAATGTAAATAATAAAAATATTAGATTTTTATTTCTTCAAAAAGATTTTTAATCTTCAAATTGAAGCTTTAATTAAAGAGGATCTTATAAGTTGATTTTATTGTTAATTAGAATCAAATATAATACAGTATTGGAGACTATAATATAAGAGTCTTTTGTATTATAGTCTCCAATATTGTATTATATTTGTATTTTATAATATAATATTTCCTTCAACTCTTTCTTGAGAACTCTCTTGAAAATAGTCCTCAAGAAAGAGTTTAAAGAAATATTTTTGAAATACATAATTTTGGAATTTATGCAGGTGACACTATCTTATAAGATCATTTAATATCTGACTCTAAAAATGTTACATTATTTCTTAAACCCCACAAAAACAACTTATGGAGTGTTGTAGAGAGGCTTTTAAGAAGATTCTTATTTCTGAAATCAATAATAGTAAATACTATTCAGTTTAAGCTGATAAAGCATCTGGCTGTGCCAATCTTAAACAGTAGTCTATCATTATAAGATATATAGGCAATAACTATAATACTCGTAAAGATTTCTTAAGGTTTGTTAACTGTCTTTAATTATTTAAATGTGCCCTTAGTCGGAAAATACAGGCATGTTTAAATAATTATCTTTCTGTTGAAAAAGCAAAGCTAATCAATGTTTGTTTTACTTGTTGGGTTTGAATTTTATTTAAATGTAACTTTAGTTTAGTTTTAACCAAAATTTGATGGATTGAATTTTTTATATCACTACATTTGGTCTAATATTGTTTTTGAATTGACTCTTACTTTAAATGTAAAAGAATAAAAAAAATAGAAAATGTGGAAAGCAAATCAATCATGATAATCACTCATCATCTGATTATTTTAAGCTTTCTATCACTTTAACTCTACTGGAACAACTTGTTAATGAACTTATTAATTATATAAAATTTCAAACAGAAAGCAAGTTGGTTTATATGGGATGTTTGCAGTTCCAACTGTCTGTTAAGCTACTTGAAAACTAACTAAGATTTGCAAATCTTTCAGGAATTTCTAGATATCTATCATTCCAACTCTGCATTCAACCTTTATTTATGCAGAGTTGGATTATGGAAGCCTCTTTAAAAAGACCAGTCAAAATCCCTATCTAGTATTTTATAAACGAAACTCATGACAATGATTTATTTCCCCAACATTCTTGAATATTTTAAAGGTTTAATTTTAGGTACAATACCAAGAGATTAAAAACTTATTCAAGAAGTAGAGTGTTAAAAAAGTCATTGAATGATCTAGCTTTAATGTCAATTTATACCGAAATAGTTCTTGATAAAGACGGTGTTAACAAAAAATTTTCAGCTAATGGAGAGAGATGTGAATAAAATACTTAAATCTCTCTTATATTTACAATCATTTTTTTGTTTTTTTCATTGTTTAATTTACTCTTAGAGCATCTTATTTTATTTTTTATAAATATTTAATAAGTAAATTTATTTTCTATTTTGTGTACATTTCATAATCCTTGACATCTAAAATGTAAAATGTTTTAAAAATTGTTCTAAACTAAATAATGTAAACCACTAAATAAAAAATTTAAATATGTGTTTATTTCATTTGAGTATGCTACAAAAAGAGTGCTCGATAATCATAAAAACAAAGATGTTATAAATTAGTTTCCTGAGGGTTCTATAGATAATTAGTTGATAGTTGCATTTATTCTATTAGTAACAAAAATATAAAGGAAAGAATCCAGAATTAGAGAGCTAACATTAGGCAGCATAACAACTTACATGTGGAGTGCAAAGTCCTATGGCTTACCTTTAGTTGGTGCACTTCGTTAAGTAAATTAGACATGTCTAAATTACGAACAGAATAGCCAAGGCAAATTTTATATTTTATCATAAATTATTTTACTAGAATCCATTAAAAATAAATGAAAGAAATATGTGTGCAAAAACTGAATTAAAAACGCTCAGATAAAAAAACTGTCTGGCGGCGTCTACATGACGTAATTGTCGGACGTCTTTTTGACTCGGACTAACCGACTTATTAAATAGTTGCATTATGACGTAATTTTACAAATTTTAGCTACACCTATATAAAATCCTAGATCCGCCCCTGTTATATATATATATATATATATATATATATATATATATATATATATATATATATATATATATATATATATATATATAAATATATATATATATATATATGTATATATATTATATATATAATATATATTTATATATATAGAGGGGCGGATGTATATATATATATATATATATATATATATATATATATATATATATATATATATATATATATATATATATATATATATATATATATATATATATATATATATATATATATATATATATATATATATATATATATATATAATATATATATATATATATATAAAATATATATATATATACAGGAGCGGATGTATATATATATATATATATAAAATATATATATATATTTATATATATACAGGAGCGGATGTATATATATATATATATATATATATATATATATATATATATATATATATATATATATATATATATATATATGTAAAATATATATATATATATTTATATATATACAGGATATATATATATATGTATATATATATATATATATATATATATATATATATATATATATATATATATATATATATATATATATAAATATGTATGTATCTTTAAATCTAAGGTTGTCAGGAAGATCATTAGTGAAGATAAGAAACAATACAGGAACAAAGATAAAACCTTGAGGTGTTTCATAAGTTACAGGAAATGAAGATGACTTTAATACTGCGGCTAGAAAAAAATGATAGTAATAAATTTGATAATATTGAAAACTTCATTTAATGCGCCATTTAAAGCAAATTTACGGAGAAAATCAGCGTGCCAAACTTTGTTGAAAGCTTAAGATACGTCAAGAGCAATATCTTTTGCATCGCACCATAATCCACGATAGAATCTTTCAGTTACAGCAGTTAGCTGTAAAAAAAAGATCAAACCAGCTGTAGAACGAGGAGATCAAAAATCGTATTGATTATTAGAAAGTTATTAGACTCAAGATGTCATGTTAGAACTTTGTTGATTTAACAAAAACCTTCCTAATAATATAGAGAAGACTGATTGAACGAAAGTTGGAGGGGTTCGAATGTTCTCCAGTTTTTTAAAAATTTGAACTACCAATGCCGTTTTCCAACACACAGGAAAACAATATTCAATCAGCACCTATTAAATAGTTTAGAGAGAATTAAAAAGAATTCTTTAAAATACTTTTGTAAGACTTTGACAGAAATGTTTTTTGGGCCACAAGCCGTAGAAGAGTTTAATCGAGAAATGACTTTAGCAACGGAAGCCAAACCACTCCGATTTGTATATCAGACAATGGTTTAATTTGTTTAAATGATATGGCAAAAAAATTATAGTCATTAAATTCAAATATAAAATAAGAGAAAAAATTCTCAGTACACAGTTTTGTCTTACACTTGAAATAGATAATGAGATCATATCCATAAAATAAAGATGGAACGATTAACTCACCTATGTTAATGGCACTTTTAAAGATTTGCCAAAAAATATATCAAACCACTTCTCTTAATATAACCTGTGAAGTTCCACAAGGTTCAATTTTTGGACCAATCCTATTCCTAACTTATGTAAATAATTTGAATAAAGCCTCAAAACTAACCAGCATTATGTATGCAGATGATATTAACTTATTCCTTTCTAACAGTGATACCTTTGAACTTTTTAAAACAATGAACGAAGATCTCAAACACATATCGAGTTAATTTAAAATGTAATAAATTTACCTTAAATATCATCAAAACAAAGGGAATCTTATTTCATTCGCTTTTAAAACAATGATTTAACATATAGTGTTAAAGTATTTGCATAACTTTTTATATTATCTCCTAATTATATTAAAGATTTTCTTTGTTTTGTAATATTTGTGATGTGTTATTTACTTCATTAAAGTCAAAAATTAGCATATGTATATTTACAAACACATGCTCACTTTTTTGATATACTTTTATATCAAGAATTTAAAATGCTTCCATGCTTTTTTTCATACATTCCTTTGCTCTTGTGAATGATAGTCCAAAAGTTTTTTATTTGTCTTTAAACGTATTTATTAGGGTTGTTCACGAAAGCCAACGTTGAAATTTCGATTAAAAAAGAAAGTTTTCGAAACTCTATTTTCGTTTTGGTAAGTTCGAAATAATTTTTTTTTTTTTTTTTTTTTTTTTTTTTCGTTAAATTTTCACAACTATATTAATTACAAATTTTTTTTTACACTGCGATAGCATAAATAAAATATACTTCCAATACAAAAAATTAAATATGCTATGACTTGATAAGGGTTTTGACTGTTGTAGGGAACTCGTAGAAGACTGAGTTTAGTCTTATCATCGAGAACCTTGGGGTATTGCGTAAAGTACACATAAACATTATGATTCTCATAAAACAAATATTTTAAATGTTATTGATGTAGACTTTTTTTTTTTCTTTTTATTATTTTATGAGTGGTGTTAGTGTTGTGGTTTATAATAATAATATTATCTTTTTTTTTTAATTTAAAAAAAAAAAATACATTTTCATTTTTGGTTGATTGCTGGTTGTTTGAATGTGAGCTTAAATGTTAATTTATTATTAGAACTAAAACATTTCTAAGTAATTATCTGTATTGAGAACATGATTTTTTAGTTTTGACTTTAGAGAAGTTATATAGTCAGCAAGAGAAATTGAGGTATAATTCGAAATTAATTTGTTATATAAATAAGGGCCGCAATAAGAAATAGAAAATTGAGAATTTTTTTGTCTTTTCCAGGGTACAATAAAGTTACCAGTTGCTCTTGTGTTAAATTTGTTGATATTAGATTGAAAGAAATTTTCTGTAAACCAGTTTGGAACTAATCCTAATTTGTATTTTAGCATGAACAATATATTAGCATAGATATTAATTTGGTAAATGTTTAGCGCTTTCATTGAATTGATGGTAGTTTATTTTTTTGTTTGTTTGAGTGAAATAAAATATACTTAGTTTTTTGGGCGTTTAATGATAACATGTTAGCACTGAACCATGTTTTAAGTGTTTGAAGCTCAATGTTGACTTTATCAAAAAGGTCATTGATAGAGGTAGATGAGTAAAATAGATTGGTATCATCTGCAAACATTATACAATGTAGATTTGTAGAGGCTTTAGGTAGATCGTTAATGTAGATAAGAAATTACAAAGGCGCAAGAATAGATCCCTGGGGAACACCACATTTTATTTTTAATAACTTTGTATTAGTGATACCGTCTATTATAACACATTGTTGTCTGTTATTTAAATAATTAGTGAACCATTTAATAGTTTGGTTTTTTATACCGTACTTTCTCATTTTTTCGAGCAGAATTTTATGGTTGACAGTATCGAAAGCTTTTGCAAGATCAATAAAAACTCCCAATACAAATTTTCCTTTATCAAAAGATGATCTAATGTTGTCCATCAGGTCTAAGGTTGCATGCTCTGTAGAATGGTTTGTTTGAAAGCCGTATTGACATTCACTTAAAATTTTATTGGCTGTTAAATATTTATAAAGTCGGTTGTACATTATTCTTTCCAGGAGTTTGGAAAAGACTGGAAGAATTGAGATAGGTCTATAATTGGTTAGCAATTTAAAGTAATTAATTTTGATTCGAAACGATTTTTTACTTTCGAAATTGTAAAAATTGCTTCAAAATATTTTTGCGATTTCGATATTCTGAAAAAACTATCGAAAAAAGTTTTTATTATCGAATTTGTAAAATTTGCTTCGAAATATTTTTGCTATTTCTAAAATCGGAAAATATTACCGAAACAATTTTTTACTTTCGATATTGTAAAAATTGCTTCGAAATAAATTTTGCTATTTCGAAATTCTAAAAGTATTACACAATATACAAATATTACTATTAAATTCTAAAATTTGCTTATATTTATTTTATTACTGAAATTGTACAAAATTTTATTAAAATGTTTTTATAAATAATTAAATTTTAAAAATTAACATAAAATAATACTTAAAATTTTTGGCGTTACGGCACATATTCTATTTAATAGAAGAATCTGCAATTATTTTAAAAATGACTCATGGGTTGTTCGCAAATCACCTCACATATTTAGGCCTAGCGGGGTTTCGGATTTTGTGACACTTTGTAACCGAGGGGTGAAGGAGAGTTTACAAATTTGTGACATCACAGGTGATTAAAACGGAATAAAATAAAATTACTAACTTTGATAAAACTCTAAATGTATAGAAAAAAGTACTATTTTTGCTACTTTTTAAAAGAAACTGTTACTCAAAAAGCAAGGATATACTCAGAGCCGTGGATATGCTCCCCACGCTCCTCCCTTAATTAGGGGGGGGGGCACATTTAGGAGCTCTTTTTCAAATTTTTGAGGGTCTTTTACCGAATATGGGGAGCTTTTTCATTTTTAGTAACAGGTTTTTTTTAATTTCTTTTTTTTAGGGAGGGGTTTGACTCCTTGCCACGACGCTGTATACACTGGTTTGATAATGGCTCTCTGAAATGCCAGTCCTGGCTAGCCTTAAAACGAGCATTGCTGAAAACAGTGGCGTCAATTCAGGAAACTTAGGAGAAGGGGCCAATTTGTGAAAACAATTAAACTCTCCCTTAATTGGGGAGCGGGACAAATTTAGTGGCTCTTTTTCAAATTGGGAGCTTTTTTATTATTAGTAGCAGGTTTTTTTTTAATTTTGGGGCCTTAGTTTTTAGCTCAAAGTTCTTGATTGGTGTTGCAAATATAACAATAACATTTATCAACTATAAGTAAACTTTCTTAAAGAATTCGTTTATCTTTAGACGAGGTTATTAGTTATTGTTATCAGTTACAGTTCATTGATGCCCCATGGGGCCATCCATATAGGACGTCACCATTTTTCAGCCAATTTTTGACCCCCTCTACCTCCCTTTGTCACCGGTTGTCCTTTTTCCCTATACCCCCCTTGAAAAGGTCCTGACCCTACCCCCCCTATTTTTAACTCCAAAAAAATTTATTTCATCTCGCAATGATGTTTGAATCTGCTGCTACACCTTTGAAAAATAAAGTTAAAAATATTCTCATACATTATCTTCTTAAAAACACATGTTTACGTAGTTTTCCATGTTAATTAAACTAAAATAAAAAATCTATAAAGTGACGTCCTTTTCTAACAACCTCCCCCTCCCCTTGTCCTTTTTTGTCCTTTTTAACTCGACCCCCTCCCCCCTCTATTTGGATGACGTCCTTTATGGATGGCCCCCATGGACATCTGCTGCCCGGGACAAACAATACCTTCTCATTTACCTCTCTCGCCTGATTAGATTATGCTTGATGACTTTTTAATTTTTTAAAATTATTTTTATGGATTATATTTACCCTCACCAAAAGCTTGAATAACCTTTTTGATAGCTTGAACTGAAGTTGCCAGACATCTGGCCTTTACGAAGGAGAACACGGTAAAAAAAATTATTTTTACAGGTTTGGCGCTGTATTCCCTCCGTAAAAGCCGGACGTCTGGCAAACCTAGCTTGAATAGCGTTAAAAAAATAAATAAAAAGTTTTTTTTGCCTGTCGTTTTGATTACATAAAAATTTCTTTTGAAAATATTTTTTTTATTTCGAAAACAAAATGATTAAAAATCTAATTCATCCATCTAAGTTTGAATAGCGTAAATTTGAAAGAAAAGTTGCGTAACTTTAGGCACATTCTGTAAAAAATTTTATTTTTAATATCAGCAAATTTTTAAAAATAAAGTAGAAGGCCAGCCTGAAAAAAATTAGCAAAAACTAATTGTTTTTCGAATTTTTCTCTAAAAATCTAATAAAGATTATCTGGTTAAACAAGAAATAAAGAATTTTGACACTCTCTTCTTAGAATGCATAGTTCACAGCACGCATGTAAGTCAATTTCCTTGAGGCCTTAAACGCATGACATGAAATCATTGTTGCAATGTAAACGGCTAATTACTCTTTAGTGGTTATTTAGAGATTTACAACGGTTTCAAATCGATTTATGCCTTTGCGATTTTTGTGATACATAACTCTAAAAAAATGTAACTTTATATTAAAGTTATAACAATCTCATTAATACCTCGGTAACGTTAGTGAAATTTATTTTAACATAAGTTACTAATTTGTTAATATTTGTTATATACGAACAATTAAAAAACTACTCGATTTTTAGTTTGAATAAACAATGTCAAAAACAGATAAATCCGTTATTAAGAAAGGAATAAGAAAACGAAGCTTCGTTTGGACATATTTTGAAATGGACCAAAAGAATCAAACAAAATGCAGCATATGTTATAAGATTTTACTTTACAACAGTTCGACCAGTTCAATGCAATCCCATTTATCAATTGATCATTACATTAATTCTAAAATATCTAAAAAATCAACAAATTTACTCAACGATGACGATATATCCGATATTGAGAGCGGTAATACGAATGGTTTTGAAGAGACTGGTCATAAAAAATTAAACAAGTTATTGGTGAATTTTATTGTTGGTACCGATCAGCCGATTTCGATAGTACGTCATCCAGATTTTGTAAACTTAGTGAGTTAAACAAAAGCTACAAAATGCCATACATAAATACGGTGAGCAAGAAATTAATTCCATCAATTACGGACAATCTTAAATGAATTTTAATGCTCGAATTGAAGGGATGTCGTTTTATTACAATAACTTGTGATAGTTAGTCATCATTGGGTAATAACAGCTACCTTGGTGTGACTTGCCATTTTATTGACAAAAATATGACTCTAGTTGACCGAAACCTGGATCTTAAGTTTATGTCTAAAATGAAAACAGCTGAATATTTATTTAATACGTTAAATGAAATCTTCAGTGAATTGTCAATCAATAATAACATTTTTGCACTAGTTACTGACTCAGGTGCAAATATTTTCTCTGCAGTAAATAAATTTGATGATAATGTTCTTAAGATTCCGTGTGCTGGTCATCGTTTGAATCTTGTGGTTAATGATCTTCTAAACGCGAGAGATATAAAAGTAAAAAAATTTAAAAATGGGTCAAAACGAAGTAAAAGACTACAACGGTAATGGAAAATAAATAAATAGAGAAAGTACATAAAGCGAAGTTAAAGAAATTGAAAAAATTAACGAAGGTAAATTAGAAATCGCCAAGTTAATTTCATCCTGCAGGCACATTGTTGG